TAGGGTAACCTTTAACCTCATTTATTTTTCATTTTCTTAAAAATTAGTATTTCAGAATTAAATGATAGTTCTCTCCTAAATTCCCGCAAAATTTCCGTTCTTTTTATTGTTTGTAATTTAGTAGCTTGCATATTCTTTAGCTGAACATAACTCATTTAAAACCCTAGTTTTTAAACAAACAGGATCCTCATAAGTAGTAGTAATTTTTATTATGATCACAGATTAACATTGCAAATAAGAAGCATTAAAAATAAAAAAGACAAGATAATATCTAAGATTGTCAGTGGGCAGTCAAAGTCTGCTTAATGTTGCAGACAGTATAACAAAATTTAGTTACATTTAAAGAGACTACGTTCGACTGGTCAGATAACCATTGTACAAAAAAGATTGGTGTTTCCCTTACAGTATAGTTGGTCATGGCTGTAGTTTCGATAGCTTCTTGTCCATTGGGGCACAGTCTCAGCTCATATGGGATTTTCTTATCTCAGTCCTCCAAGAAATCCTCATAAGAATCAGTACTGAAATCCCATATCAGTTATTGCCTTATTTCAGAGGCACTTAGATTGTTAAATTATTGTTATTGATTGACAATTGGTTAATTGATATTTTTTATTATTATTCCACAAATAAACAATTATATGATATGCAACAAATGTCATTTACTTTTAAGAAGTAATTATAATTTAATATACTTTCATAAACAGTGATAGAGTTATCAATTTTGTAAAATCTTTATAAAACAAAGTGACTAAATAACAAATATTTTAAGAGTGGTATGCTAGAATTCTACCTGTTGAATATATACCATTGAGTAAATAAAAGCATGCAAGTCTGTGAGATTGTAAGTAAAATCAAATATATGCCAGTGAAAAATAAGTACAACAGAAGATAAAACTGAAAACACAAAATAAAATGGTACATTAATAGAATCATAAAATTAAGAAAATATTTTCCTCTTTAGGGCAAGGGCAGCTGAAAAAATTTTGAGCCTCTCCTGGTGGTTTTAGGCTCTTGGTCTGATGACAACAAACAAATAAGATGGCAGAAGGGAATTATTTGGCAGATAAGAGTATAAGGGTGTAATATGTTCTTCCAGAGCAGAATTTAGAGGAATTGTTATTATATTTTCCCTTAAGTAATACAGGGGGTGATATATTACAGGAGCTAAAGAGAAAGTTCTGTGGTGTGATACACAAGTATACTGAATAGTTTCCTGACATGAAAGATCTATTCATACAGTAGGCTGCCAGGTACAGTTGGCTAATCTGCCCTTTTCTACCTGGAGAGCTTTGTCAAACTTACACTGCCATACCACTTTCTTTTGAAAGCCTTAGGACAAGAAGACCATTACCTGAAAAATCTTACTGGCATAAGTCACATTGGTCCTAGAAGAGGGTGATTTAAAGTATTGTTACAAAATCTAGTCTCCATCTTTTTTTCCCCCTTTCTGTTGAATTATAGATTATGATTTGACAATTTGTGGAGTTCACATTGAAGAGGAACCTAGTATTTCAAATTGTCTGTTCTTGTACAACAGTGATAGTTCCCTTGCATAGAAGTACTGTTATAAGTTTGGTTCTAGTATCCCAAGATTTATTCTTTCTTGAAAGGAATTTGACATCTGATCTGATGCTGTAAATCAGATTATTGGGAAGACGTTTTTAAAAATCTAGGTATTTTTTTCTTTTCAACAAATGGAAAGAACACACTCAGAAGGTGGAAGCAGATCTACAAATATTTTTGAATGAAGTAAAAACAAAAATGGATATGGTGTCTTAGACATCTTGTATTTGATTAAATCAATATAAAATGACTTTGAAAGAAGTTCCAGAGAAGAATTGTTTGTAGGATTCTATAAAGTTTTGCCTCAAGTTTTAAATTGGCAGGCCATTTAATCTACAATACCTAAGAGGAAGTAATACAGGGATCCCTGGGGCATCCTTAGCTTTCTGTATTGATGATATAGGGTTTTTTTTTCTTCTATTAGGCATCTTGATCTAGATCAGCCCAATGTATAAGAGACGAATAATTTGAATAATTTGCTTTTGCTTTTATATATAGTGAATGCAATCTGGAATGAGTACTATATCATAAGAATGTATTATTTTCCTGCCTTTGAAAGAATATTTTCTACCTATATACTCCAATCTTTTTCATTCCTCCATCTGTATATAAAAAAATGAAATGTGTTGTCAAAACTACTTTTTTATATAATTATAATTTCATACATCACTAAGGTGACCAACTTTTTTACAATGAAAAGGAGGACACAAATAAATTGAAGAAAAAATATCGTAAATAAAAGAAACATTTTATTCATTGCAACAATAATACAGACAACTTGCACGTGCAAAGTTTGCCAGCCGGGTGTTTTGGCGCGCTCAGCAGCAATTCCTATTGGTTTTCGAAAGCCAATAGTGGGAGTAGCATTGCTCATGCAAAAGTTGAAAAAAAAAATCAAAAAAAGGTGCCGGAACGCTGTTCTGAGTGTTCTATGAGGGGAAAAAAAGCCCTGCAGATTAGTCTTCAAATATCGAAAAGGAGGACATGTAGGAGGACACTTTTCGAGGGAGGACAGAACTTACAAAAGGAGGACTGTCTCCCTAAAGGAGGACAGTTGGTCACCTTAACATCACATCACAGCAGCAATAGCTCCAAAAGATTATCTTTTGTTGGTTTTATTTCTTCTCTCTCTTCCCCAAAGGAATACATAAAATATCCTCTGAATCTACAGTTACAGTAAGTGGCATTGGCTAATGATTTGATTTGAGAATTGAGAATACAGTCTGGATTTACTCTTTGTGCATTAATGTAGGTCAAATGGACATCAACTGAATTTTCAATCAGTAATGGAAGGCTGAAGATTGTCTTAAACCAATCACATCAGCCTTATCCAAGTCTGACTGATCCCTAGAGACTATACCCAGTAAGCAAAGCTTTTATATGAATGGAGCCTGGAGTTTCATTCATAAAATGGATGCTAAAGGGAGAAAGGGGGGGGGAGAGTGATGGGAGAAATACACTGGAATGTCCATTTATATAAAGCTGAAGGGTGTAAGTGTTCCATCAGCTGCTACTCCTGCCTGTTGACTTGAAACAATGATTAATGTGTGCTGGCCTCCTCAGTGTGTAACTTGACACCATTTATGTGCCCTTGGCATGTTTCTAATGTATAGTGAATGAAAAGGCTACATGAGCCAATCAGAAACATAAACAGGAACTGGTTGGTCTGAATTCCATTCAAATATGTCACTATAGCCCAGCAGTGTTTGCAGAACTTAATTTTTTATAGACAGAGAACAGGGTGGAGAAAGAGGCTAAAGCACAGCTGTTGGTGTTTATTTCCAGCCAAAGATCACAAAAGAGAGTGAAAAATGGTATGTGTGTGCACTCATTTATGTGCACTTCTTTATAAAAAAAAAGCAAGCTAGTCTACACATCACTTAAAACTAATGCCATGTGATAGAAATAAATACATAAAAATAGGCACTTTGGAGCTTTTTTTTGTATTACAAACACACTTGTCTTTTTGATTCTGCAACCCTCTGTAACAAATAAACATTTGTTAAAGGAGGCTGGTTCTTGCCTCATGTGTTTTCTGAAAACCGGATGTCATGACAATGCCAGAATAAACCAGCAGTTTGCTATAGAAAGCAATCTGGTGTACTTCAGGGAGGAAAACTGTAGGTTTTATTTGCATGTGTTTTAGTTTCTTTTGGAACGACTGTGGACAAATTAGATTAGTAATAGTAGTAAAGTTGGAAGGGTTGCCAGATGAGAGGATGGGTTTACATTTTTTTTTCCTAAGATGCCTGGATTTTGTATTTTGTATCTGCTATAAAGTGATGTTTCTGTTATGCTGAATTTTAATTTTTAATGTAATTTTACAAAGACCATTTATTTTTCTTTCGTTTTGCATCCTGCTTTAATATGGTTCTGTTCTCCCTGTTCAAATATAGGAAAAAGGGTTTGCAAATACTTTACATTGACAAATATTTTTAAAGGGGAAGAAGTGAAGGATAATTATATTTAAGTTTGTTCCACTAAAATTCCATGAATGAAATAGGGAGATTACTTGACAGAATTTTGGCTGGAAATATGTTCAAGTGTCAAGGATGGTTGTCAAGAAGCAAATACGTATTGCAAATTACTAGTTATTTTTACTTTAATTGGAAATGAAATATAGATTGTTTTGTGGAGAATTTTCTACCTAGTTTTACAATGTAATTATGTTTTTCTACATTGCTTTTTATATTAGTAATCGTAATAGCAGTAAAGTTGGAAGGGACCTTGGAGGTCATCTAGTCCAACCCCCTGCTCAGGCAGGAAACCCTACACCATTTTGGACAAATGGCTGTCAGTCTCTTCTTAAAAACTTCCAGTGTTGGAGCATTTACTGCTTCTGGAGGCAGGCTGTTCCACTGATTAATTGTTCTCACTGTCAGGAAGTTTGTCCTTAGTTCTAGGTTGTTTCTCTCCTTGATTAGTTTCCACCCATTGCTTCTTGTCCTGCCTTCAGGTGCTTTGGAAAATAGCTTAATTCTCTCTTCTTTATGGCAGTCCCTGAGATATTGGAATACTGCTATCATGTCCCCCCTTGTCCTTCTCTTCGTTAAACTAGACATACCCAATTCTAGCAACCGTTCCTTATATGTTTTAGCCTCCAGTCCCCTAATCATCTTTGTTGCTCTTCTCTGTACTCTTTCTAGAGTCTCAACATCTTTTTTACATCGTGGTGACCAAAACTGGATGCAGTATTCCAAGTGTGGCCTTACCAAGGCATTGAAGAGTGGTATTAATACTTCACGTGATCTTGATTCTATCCCTCTGTTAATGCAGCCTAGCACTGTGTTGGCCTTTTTGGCAGCTGCAGCACACTGCTGGCTCATATTTAGGTGATTGTCTACTAGGACTCCGAGGTCCCTCTCACAGTTACTACTATTGAGCATGGTGCCACCTATGCTGTACTTGTGCATTTGGTTTTTCTTGCCTAAATGTAGAACCTTGCTTTTTTCACCATTGAATTTCATTTTGTTAGTTAGTGCCCAGTGTTCAAGTCTGTCCAGATCCTTCTGTATCTTAAGCCTGTCTTCTGGAGTATTCTTAAATTCTGGACTTTTTGCCCAAGTTCCTAAAGAATGCCCCATATCTTTAGACCTCTAAAGCTCAATATTGCTTATTCTGACTTGAGTTGTTTTCCAAGTCTTTCTACAGTTCTTGAAATTGTTCTGAAACATGTAGATTTTCTATAGAATTAAGAGTTACTACTCACTTTCAAAAACTAATGGACATTGTTACTGTATATCTGCTTTTCTGCTTTCTATACAATGGGCAAAGCAAACACATCGTAAAACAATAGAGAAGACAACAGGATTTCTGCAACAGCTGCCGAACTACTTTTCCAGGAAACAGATTTAACAAGAGTCAATTAACTTTATAGATTATAAATACATCATATGGCTATTCTTTTTTTAAAAAAATGCTTCTGTCAAGATAGTCACTGATCTAAATCATATTTTTTTCAGCATAGCTCAAATGGTGCACCAGATAAGGTAAAGCTTTATTTTAATATTGCAGATTAGAACCATTTTCATAAAACTGGTCAGAGAAAAAGCTGTGGTGAAATTGTTGTGGCACTTATCTGATCCAATTCTGAGGATTAAGAACATACTGTCATCATGTTGTTCTTGACATATTTGAGTGGTATATTAAGCTTGTCAGTAAATAAAACCTGGAAAGACCTTTGTTTGCATTACAACAGTGAAAGCAATTCTTTTGTGCTAATGCCATTAAGGGAAGAGACAATTTAGTATAGTCTGAAATCCTAACAATAAATATTAACATCGGAATTACTTACATCTTGCAATCAGGCAATTTCCTTTATTCAGCTGGGGATCTATTGGAACTATATGCTGCATCTCATTTTACATATGTTCTGTAAATGCAAAATTGTTATGTTCTCAGAATATGTGGCTTGAGAAGATTGCTGTGGTTCAACTCTACTTAATGGGACCTGTGTACTACATGTAGTTTTCTTTGATCTGGGGCATCTAATGTAACAATTTATATTTTAAACTAAGCAGCACAACATAGTTGTCAAGCTAAGAGTATCATTAAGATCATTGTTATTTTCAGCAACTTTGTAAACAAATCTTCAAAGAAGGCCTGCTTGCAAAGAAGGAGCAAATATCTGAAATTCTGTGTTTGATACAGAGAACTAGCAGATCACCTGATTTTTTGAAAGGGTATAGAGTTAGGATGGAGACTCCTTATATTCTTCTGCCAGCCTACCTTGTTCCCTATTGGCTGTCTCTCTAGTATGTAAACATACCTATACATTTGCTGCCTCATTTTCTGGTGCTCTAGTCCTATAGTTGGAGATGATCCTTATACTTGGGACAATTCCTTCTACAGTGAATCCACACTGTATAAATGCTCTGGACCTCATCATTAAGGAAAAAAGAGAACACATTGCAGATATGAACAAAAATCATATTTGGGGAAATATATTACCACTTCATTCAAAGCTTATAAAACTCTGGCTGAAAAAGGCTTTGCAATACTGGAAGACAGTATTGCATACATGCTTTGTAATACTGGGAGATTGCAACTATTTTAAGATACTGGAGTTCAACTGCTAGAATTCCTCAGCTTCCAGTTGAAGTTCATGCATTCTAAAGTTGGTGAGATTGAGTAATCCTAATTGAAAAGAAGGACTTCCAATGCAATGTAGTTGGATATATTTGAATTTACTTTAATTTACTTTAACAAAGGAAATTTGTTAAAGTAAAACTTTAAGTTTAACTTAAACTTTGTTACATAAACAAAGTCCTCCTTCCACTTCTGAGAATGCAAATTAATCACTGCAAATGTATCTGCCCATTAATTTAATAACGTTTCAATCATAGCTGGATTGAAACAAAGGGATTGATGGTTAAGAGCAAGAGTCAGGGTTGAGATTATTTCTGTTTGTCCATGTTTTCTCCTTATTGGACCTTTGGCTACTCCCTTCCTCATGTCCCATAAAACTTTGTGGAAACTGCATTGATAATGATGCTGGAATGCTTATTTTAAAGTACTGTGATTGATTTTGTTTGTTTGTTTGAAGGAAAAAAACACTATTTTATTAATAAATATTATTTGTGGTTCTTGTTGATATGAATGTATATGAATGCTGTTTCTGTTTATAGTTTGTTTTATTGTTTTTTCATCTATATGAAGTAGGAAACAGCATACCATGAATACTCAGATATACTTGCTAATGCTAGCATCAACTTTTCAGTTTTAGGGAGTATTTTTCATTATACGTAGAGAAATATGATAATAAATTTGGAACTACTTACATGTGCTATAGCTTGGTGTTTCCTCACCTTACCACTTTAAGATGTATGGACATCAATACCCAGAATTCCTCAGTCTGCATGCTGGCTGAGGAATTCTGGGAATTGTAGTCCACGCATCTTGAAGTTGATAAAGTTGAAAAACACTGAGCTGTTCTATAGTATTAACTTTGGATGCAACAGTTCTGACCCATCTGCTTTGTTTCAAGTGTTATTATCAAATCTGCTCTTTTTATTCTTCCCTCTTTCTTTCAAAAAGTCCATCAACTTTCAAAATATACACAGTGGCACAGTTTTTTAATCATTGTTTACCAGTGCAAGTTTGCTAGTTAAATTATTGCTAAGTATTAGTCAAACATTTAGCACAATTTAAAACTGCAATGTTAAATTTCATTTGTTGGCCTTTTTATTAGATAAGCTAGAAATGAAAGCAGCAGGGAATTTAATTGGCAGTATTTTTTTCTGGTTAAGTCATTACTTTGATGAACTTCAGAGCAATGTTTATGGCTCCTAATTAACAATGATAGCCATTTGATTGAATAATCACTTTGGAAATGTTTCTAAAATTTGATTAGAGCTTGACCCATTCTGATAGTCATAAATTAACCAACAGCACTTTTAGAATCATAAGGCTTTAGATCTTTGGAAAAAAAAACATCAAAACAGGAGAGTCTTCTTTTCAAATCTTAGGGTAGTGTTTAATCATATGACTATGTTAAATGCAAAGTGATGGATAGCATGAAGACTGCTAACCTGTCAATTGCAATATTAAAAATTGAAACATTTGGACTACAGGTTCCATCATCAATAATCAGATTGCTCGTTGCCCATGCAGGTAGTTCTCAACATGATCACAACTGGGATCTGAACTTCTGTCAGTAAATGAGACAGTCATGCTCTGCTTTGTGACCATTTTGACACTGTCATTAAGTGAATTTGGCTTTCCCATTGACTTTGGTATTGGAAGCTGTATAGGAAGATTGCAAATGGAGATGATGTCACTCTGGGATGCTGTTGTAAATACACCCCAGTGGTCATTTTGAATCACATGATTGTGGAAATGCTGCAATGGTAGTAAGTATAAAAAATGGTCATAGCTCACTTTTTTCAATTCCATCACAATTTCAAATGATTACTAAAGGAATTATCATAAGTTGAGGACCACCTGTACAGACTATGCTTTCAAAAAGAAGACATTAAAAAGGGGAGGAGAATGGAGATGTACCCTGTGCATTTAGATACTTTTTTATATCAAAGGTATTGCTAAAGATGTGCAGATATGATCAAGAACTCTACATATTATATGTTCTTGGTGCCTTACAAAGCCTTCACACTACAGAGTTTTAACACATGGTAATTTCCATTCAAGAAATAAATGGATCGAAGACAGAAACTGTGATTAGAGCTTCTATGAACTCTTGATTCAGTGATACATAGTACAATTTATTCTATAAGTTTTTTTAAAATCTCAGTATGATTATTCTGCCCCTTCCTTTCTTTTTTCTTGGCCATACTGTGATGCTTAACACCCTTCTGGTAAAAATAGGGATTACATACCAGGATATGGAATCAGGATCTGACTTGACAAATAGAGGTGGGGAAGGCACTCTGGTGCTTTAACACTTCTCTCCATTATCCTGCTTACATACAGTATTTTATAATTCAACTAATCTTGTGCTACATGCAAAGCTACAAATTCTTGAGTAATATGAGATCATAGCAAGAGCAAATATTCTATATTATGCTGTTAATGTTGATATGAAGTTACATGTTCCATTCTTCTAGTAGTATCTACTATTAGTTTGAAGTTTGAGGTGGGAAACACAACCCCAAAAGCTATCATAACACAGGTAAGTTTGCTTAAATGTTACAGGGATGGAAGAAAGAATTGCTGTTGTTAATGGGAGGACTGATTGCATTTAGTATTGCACCATTAGTATTTTTAACTAACTTTAAAAAAAATCTTTTAAGTATCACAAGTCTAATGTAACAGATATAGTTCATAGTAAAAAAAGAATAAAGATATGTGGAATAAGGAAACGGATAGATGCTCTTATTCTTATCAGTGGCTACACTCACTTAGTAAAATCTCATTTTCTTTTCCTCTAACTCCTTGATACGTATCACTAGTCAGTGAGCAGTGAAATTGGGGATTGCATTTTGGAAAAGAACTGCACACCACACTGAGTAAATTACTTTTGATCCTTTTGCTATTTATTGTTGTTTTTTTAATTCTTCAGAGATAATTTAAGAAAAAATGTGATAGTATAGCAAATTACATTTTGCTTGTCAGAATGTTAAGATTAAAATTCTAGAATAATACATGTGAAGAGTTTGCTCTGAAATTGAAACTTAAGAATAAAATTCATATATTTCAGAAAAGCTGCAAGTATTGTGCACAAAATGTATGTTGAAACTGTGGCCTAGAAATCAGGAGACTGAGTTCTAGTCCTGCCTTAGGCATGAAAACTAGCTGGCTGACTTTGGGCATCATTTTCTTTCTTAGCCCAATCTATCTGACAGAGTTGTTGTCAGGAAAATAGCAGAAAGGATCATTAAGTGTGTTCTTTGCCTTGAATTACTTATAAAATAATTAAAGATAAAGATTTATTTGGTAAAAATCTAAAAGTTATGCCAATAGGGAGACAAACTGCAATCTTGACTAAATCGCTGGTTAACTTAAAAATAAATCTTATATTCCAAATTTCTGGGAATATTTGGGGACTAGCTGAAATTAAATAATAGGAAGGCATATAGCTCCGAAGTGTAAGTTCCCAATATCCACATTATATGTTAAATGGGGAAACTATATAAATTGTATAAATAAATAATAAACATATGGCAGTTGTATTAATTTTACTATAATTCTCTCATATTTTGATGAGAAGCTACTGATCGTATCATTTCTGGGTTTTTTGTTTGTTTTTATGAAGAATAAAATGGATTTAATGAACAATCAATTAGTACATGAACATCTGATACGAATATCACTTCCACTACCAATTACCTATTTCACATTTAAATCACCAAACAACAGCAATAAAAAGCTCCAAGAAACAAGAGGGTTGGAAAAACCTTGGCAGGGTAGACATAGTATTTCCTTATCTCCACTTCTATTAGAGCAAACAAATAAAAAGAAAATGCTTGGTGTTTGAACAAAAGTTCAAAACTGTATTTATCAAGTTTTAACTTAACTTTCCCAATGCAACAATACTCAGAGTATTAAATGTGTTTGAGAACGCCATTATGTATTCTGGTTATATTGATTGAACATCAGAATAAAATAATGCCAACTTACGCATAAGTCTGATGTTTCATTGAGGTTTGATGGAGTGGCTGATTATATTAGATGATTGGTTTTAATATCAGTAAAAATGCTTGCAAATGGTTCAATTGGAAAAATTAAATATTTGTAGACTTTTGTAGTGAATATGCTTTCTTTCCATCAAAATACTATCCTCAAAATCAGTTGATAAAGTATCAGGATATCTACATGACTGGAAACCTAAGAAAACATGGAATGATTTAAATTTTAGAATTTGGTTGTAACTAGATAAACAATGACCTGTTGAGTCATCCTTTCAAATACATTTCTTTATCTAAACACAATGCAAATCCAAATTGCTCATTTGTCTCCCACTTATGCAATCTTCCCATTTTTTCCTGAATGATTTATGGGACAGTCTTAGGAAAGTTGTAAATGAAGGTCACTTGAGTAGGGCAGTGTGGCGGTGGTGCTGAACAACAGCAGTACAGTAGCAGTGAAATGGCAAAATCTTTCTAAAACTTTCTTCCCTTATGAGTAATGGATCCCAGCATTCTGCAAGTTAATTCATTTGAGATACATCGTCCCCCATGATGCACAAATTTGCCCAGTTAAGAGTTAAATACACAGGAGCTTTACTAGGATATAGATTCTAAATGGAACCAAGCTCTAGCGATACCTTAACAATTCTGTTCAAATCTGTCTGGCAACATTATTTTCGTGTTTGCCATGTGCACAATCTCAATCAAACAATCCTCTGACTAATATTGCCTTCTCATTTCAGAAGTGCCTAGTTGCCATTCCATTTACATGAGGCAAGAAGGCTTCCTTACTCACCCAAACAGAACAGAAGTTAAGTCTCTCTGTATATGCCCTTGTATGTATGCATGAACTTTGCTTTCTTCTTGTCTAAAAGCAAGATTTTAGCTTATAAAAAATACGCTAAAAATGGACAGAATTAGAAAAATATTGTAAAACTGTGGTGTCTGTTCCTGAAACTCAAGCTTTCTTAGAGGGACACTTGTTTGTTTTTCTAAATAGACAATGTAAGCTCTGGAAGACATGCCAGTCTTTGGGTGGTTTTAATTCTTTACTTCATCTTTCATCAAGCATATTCTAACTAGTTTATGAGACAATTCTAGTTACTACAATAGAAATTGAAATCTTTAAGATAGAAAATAGCATGGCAATCTACAATTTATTCTTCGGGTTTATTTTGAACATATTGTGCACTGCCTAGTTACCTATGTTGTACTTCATGATGGATACTGTATACTTTTATAAAAGTAAAGAACATAGAAAAGAGAAAAACTGTTTTTATAAAACACTAGATTTTTATAAATCTAGCAACAGTGATGCTAACAAGACTAGTCAATAAAATTCATGACAAGAAAAAAAGTTGTTTTAACACCTCATAAATTAATTTAATTGTGAACTAATTGTGACTTAAAATAGTTTCTAAATGTTTTAGAGAACTAATTTATCTATTATAATAACTTCTTTCCTTGACCAGAATTTATTTGAAATCACTATTCTTTGCTTCTAAATAACAAAATAAAGCTTGTAAGATTTAATTTAGGAAAAGGGAGAATGGATAATTCTAATCCTTGACTTGACAGTACTTTGTGCTACTAGTAACTATAAAATAAATAAAATAAACTACATCTATGCCATCACCATCAGCATATTTTTTTATCTCACTATTAATTAACTATATTCCTTGGGCCTCCTTTCAAGGCATGACATTTTCATGTGTGTGAAGAAACAGCTGATATGTGAAGCTTCTCAATGTTTTCATGTGACTTGGAAAAACCACAATTTTAGCTATATATGCCAACATAGTAATTTTGGGGATTCGTATTTTATTCCCTCAGCAGATTGTTCTACTGCTAAGTAATATTCTAACCTGTAACATTCTAATCAGCCTGGCACATAAAGTATATGTATCTTGACCTTAGCTGTAGCATTTACTTGGGATTTTTTCAGTTTTGAATTCCAATTTTCAAAATTCCTCATGTTTTCTAGATAAGAACTCTGAAATTTTGAACACTTTGAAGGAGATCAGGTTGGGAAGGGCAATGCATTTTAATAATCTGTTTCAAGTGAATAATGTGTCTGCTTTTCATAAAATTACAGGTTGTATGTATGAAAAAGGACCAAGACAATTTTATGATGACACTTGTGTTGTTCCAGAGAAATTTGATGGTATGTTATGGGCATACATTTATTTGTTTATTTATCCAGGCTTACTTATGGAGTTCTAAGTAATGAAATCAAAAGAATACAAAGAAAAGAGAGATAAATATATAATTTTTTATTTGTTTGGTTGACCTTTGCTTTTAAAAATCAAAATATGTTTTGCAATCATATTGCTCTGTCTTGAAAGCAAAAATTCTAAATTCAGAACCAGGGCAATCTATTTTACTTCTAATTATTCCAAGGAGTCATAGGTAGACTTCAAATGCATTGATAATGACATAAAACCTGTTATTAGAGATTTATTGAAAACTGAGCTCATAATTAACAAGCAGAACAGAAAGCAGCTACTCTGAATTTGCTAATAATCCAATCTCTTATCTTATTTTTCTGTTCCTAAAGAGATGAATTATAGTTCACAAGTACATCTGGTTTTCTATGTGTATCAACAGTTTTGTTGATTGTTATAATCTCTTGTATTTCTTGAAACTGATGCCCAAAGAGTAGAGTATATAATACCACATACTGTCTTTAAAATAATTTTTAAGATAGCTAACTAACATCACATGTCGTATGAAGCAAAGCTTTCTCTCATTATCAGATATCAAACCCAGCATGTATTCTGAAGGGAAATTACAAATGTTTTTTGTACCAAAGGAATGTGAATGGGTATTTCATTGTGTTTTAATTAAGCACTGGGGAAAGCTGCTTTGCAAAACAGACAGCTAAGTGATTTATGTGTGGAATTGATGCTTGTATCCGTACTAATATAGAACCTTTAAAAAAGTAGAGGGATAGTTATGATTTGCAATTTTTTAAAATATATTCAGTAAACATTCTTCAGCTGTAAGCTGTGATTGAAGCACTTTTTTCATATGTGTTTTGCATGTGACATAAGTAAACACTTGATACTGTTTTGATCAAACCACTATCTTCACTTTCCCCTTTCTTTCAAAAGATGTTCCTGGAAACACTATTATATACTTAATAATCCAATTTTCAGCCTTAAATTCAGAGGGCTTAGCCTTAAATTTATTCAGAGGGCTTATTTAATAACATTGACTCATTCAATTTTCATAGGTAATGAAATAAAAGTTGTCTAAACTTTTCATCTGTATGGTGGTGAGGAACCTACTATCAACAGACTAAATTAAATGCAGAACTAATTGAATTGTTATATGATGCAGTTTTTTTTTTTAAATCATCAGTATGAGAAATTCTGCATTTAAAAATAATTGTACTCATAGAGTGAACAAAAATAAAAATTTCATTTATGAACTTTTAGCTGATAATTATATTTTTATTCAGTAATATTATTTTAAGAATAATGTGTTTGGCATTTTATTTGTTCTGGTGGGAAAAATATAACATGTTAAATTATTTTTGAGCTTTAATGTATATATGTATACTTTCTCAACTGACAGTATTTTTCAGAAGAATTATGAATTCATAGCTAAGCCATGTGAAATATGAATTTACCTTATAAGCATGTCTAATATACCAAAAAGGAACTGATTGATCCATAAAATTTGAATATCCATACAATAAAATCCTATTAAATCTTATTCAAATATTGTTAAATTTTTTTCATATTAGAATTTGCAAGCAAGCGCAAAAGATATATACTCTGTTTGTATCTAAGGAGAGATTGTATCATGTATTGCATATAGTCCTTCAGATATCACTGTTTACAAAGCTGGATCTTGCATAGCATTTGATAACCACTTTCATACTGTATGAACTGACTCTGGAATAAGTAAGTAACATTGTATTTTAATAAATTTGTAATTAGCTATTTTCTGAAGAATTATAGTGCACTACATAGTCTCAAAGTCACTAATAGTATCCTGTATACCAGTCCCTTCTCTCTTCTCTCTTGCTACAATAGCATTTCTTCTTTTTTCTTTGTTGGTATTAAATTTACTCCAATGAACTGAAATAAAGTAACCCACATTTTCTTTTGAATAGGTGATATCAAGCAGGAGCCAGGAATGTATCGCGAAGGACCAACATACCAGCGCCGTGGTTCCCTTCAGCTCTGGCAGTTTTTGGTAGCTCTTCTCGATGATCCATCAAACTCTCATTTCATTGCTTGGACTGGCCGAGGTATGGAGTTCAAGCTGATTGAACCAGAAGAGGTGAGTGGATCTTGTATTGTATCTTTGTATGTTAAAACATTGCTTCAGTACTTTTTCTTCTTTCTTTCTGTATTTTCTTCATAAAACTCAAAAGTAATATGGTCTTATGCATAATGACCCTTTGAAGTCCTTAAATATTTATGATTCTGTACATATGTACAGAGCTTGCAAGAATTGACTGCATTGGACTTGCAGTCTATCTGATTCGCATGTTGCTGCCCATTCTCAGCCCAAGATTGATTATTACATAGGAAGAGAGATCACTTTGTACCTCACATTGAGCTAATGGAAAAAAAATTGAATATAAATCCAATAAATAACCATTCCCTTTGTACACATTTATACCCAACACCTTGCCTAAGATTTCATTCACACAATTTTAAGCATATTATTGTCTTGAAATTTACTTTCTAAAGAATCTAATTCTACCACAGCTCTTACTATCTGAATTGGGCCTATGTACATTCTCTTTTAGCTTCCCTTTCTGTCTTTATATCCATTTTCATGTGATCTGTGATTCTTCACACCTTCAGAGATCATAAAACATAAACCCTTTCATATGCCATGTGTGGATTTTCAGATTCTATCATATTGAAAGGATAAAATCCCAAATCTCCACACAGACACAGAAAAACTATTTCTCTTGAAATCTACTTTTATCCCAAAAGAGAGAATAGAAGAATTCTAGAAAGGGCTAGAACTGCTGCTTGAACTTTAGAGGAGTATTGGTGTGTTTGGAAGAAGCTTTAAAATTATGATTCTGAATAGTATGATCTAAAGTTAAGTTTGGGAAAATGATGAAAAGATACTTAATGGAAACCAAAATAGATAAACAGTGAAAACTGATCAGTTTATGTGAGCCCGAATGCCTACTACTAGGCAAAAGAGAATATGAAGGAATGAAATTATGTAATTAGAAAGAGTATTTAGCTTTGAAATAATAGGGAATGTTTGTAGCTCGGGTTTTAGATTTTGACTGTGGTTAGTTCTCCGAGTTTTGTTCTCCAGGGGATTGCCAAATTGTCCATCTAAATAGGACATCCCAGAAATATGTTGATCTTGATTCAGTTGCATCCCAACATAACATCAATATACAGTGCATTAGAAAAACTTTTGTTAATTTTTTAAAAAATATTTAGCAAACATTTTTCTTTGAAAAATATAGCTATTTTTTAAATTTCATTTTTGTTTTCATCAGTTTTTCTTTTCAATTATATGTTTATATGATGTCTACATTTTGAAAGCTGCATTTATTTGCATATTATTTATTGTGTATTAGTTTGTTTGAACATGATATTCAAACATAAATTTATATGGCCATCTCTCTCTCTCTCTCAGACAAAAAAGTGACTTTGAAAGGCCACAAGGGTTAAAAACAATTTACTAAATCAACTAAATGCCCAAAGCTACAATTACACAGCCAGCTCATGTCCTATTGTGCTGCAGATTCGACAGGGATATCAGGTCAATATACGTTCTCCCTCTATTAGAGAGATTTTTAGGGAGATCAGATAATTTCTACGTGAACCATCTCCTTCAGAATTCAAATTTAGCCACCACTCATGTAGTAACAAAGTTTTGTGCTGTTGCAATGATAATAAGAAAAAAAAACACTTAAAGAACTAAAGATCTTTATTCATATTACTACTTTGTTTAATTATTTTATAATATTTTTTAGATAATGTATTTATTTTAATGTTTTTGTGCTAGTCTGTGACCATAATAAAGATTGATTCTGATTCTGATTTATCAGAATCAAATGCTCAAAAAGACAACATTAGCTGGCACAAGCTCACTTAACCATCCAGTCCAAATGACTCAGAGAACAGCAAGACTTTTAATGAAAAGAACCTGTAGCATGTCCTCCTTGTATACTTGGTGTGGCAAGTATAGTTGACAGGCAGTATTTTACATCACCTATGCCACATAGGGCTTTGTTGATGACATACACTGAATTGCATCGGAAACTCTATTGTGAGGTAATGTTACTCACAAAATGAGGTTTTATACTAATATATAACACGGCATAACACAATGCAATATAATATTGCTACATTACATGACAGGAAAAGCACCATTGCTTCTGTACCTTCCAATGCAGAGTTAAAGAGGGATTAGTTGAAGGCCAGTTTTATCAAATTTATAAAACAAATTTTATAAAATGTAACAGATGGGTTCTAATCTCTCTTGGTGACAGGTGGCACGTCGCTGGGGGATTCAAAAAAACAGGCCAGCCATGAACTATGATAAACTTAGCCGTTCACTTCGCTATTATTATGAAAAGGGAATCATGCAAAAGGTGAGAAATTTATACTTTTTTTGTATTGCAGTGAAATATTATATGTTAATTTATAAACTGGTTTAAAAAACCAAGTATTTCTAAACTGCATTCTCCAGTATGAGCAATAAAAGAAAGTGCATTAAATGTCTAAGTTTTAATTTCTTTATGAAATCTTCTCCCCAGTCCATTATTTCAAAATCCGTGACTTACAATTTGAACCTTGACGTAAATTGAAAGTTTTATTAAGGTTTTGGTAAATTTTGTAAAATCTTTCACATCATTAAGAGATTGGCTTCCTAATACTTCTGTTCATTTTTTTCTCCTTCACATACTCTCTTGTCAGGGGAAAAACAACCCTTTTGCACAGTATGTTTGCTTCAAAACCTTTTAAGGAGGCAAGACTCAAATGTAAGGCAGAGTACAGTAGTTTCTTTAAAAAAATCAGAAAGTGAATAGAAAACTACTATCCTTGATTATAAAAAAATCTCTCTCTCTCTCTCTCTCTCTCTCTCTCTCTCTCTCTCTCTGTGTGTGTGTGTACATGCACATACATACACATATGATTGATTGTAATTATAATGGTTCAAATTTGTTTTCTGTCTTTTGACAGTGCAGCTTTTTTATGATTGAAGCTATGCATATCATTCTTATCCTATCACTTTATTTTCATAATAATTTGCTTAATTTATACAATTGCTTAATTTAATATTAATTAATGTAAAGTTGAATCATAAAATTGATAAATCAATAAATAAAAGGTTAAGACTGCTGAGAGAGGGATTAGGAGATTTCATATGCTGCTGGATGATAGTGGCCAGAATCCTTATCCATTAGCTGTACTACTTGGGGCTACTAGACAATGTAGTTCTGTAATATTTGAAGGTCTCTGCATTGAGATGAAGATATACACTGATTGGCATAAGATTATTTAATTTCAGTGGCTTGTTGGGGACTTCAGTTTTGTTTCCTCAACTTAATCCAGTACTTACACCAAGAATCAGAATAACTATAGAAGTGTATTCAATATCAGTATATCTATTGTTTTCCTTAATTAAAACATAATTGTGCTGCCTTTTTAAAGCCAACCTTATTAATTTGTTTTAAATATTCACTGTAAAAACTAATTAACCAAAACACGAATAGTTATTTGTTCAGAGAAGAAAATAAAATCAAAATCTGATGAAAGCAGTATTTCATTAGGCCATTAGTACATTCATAAATTAACAGATTTTAAGCTTCCAAGAATGCTTTATCAGATAAAAAAAAATATTTTCTCTAAAACTGAAGGGTCTGTGAATAGGAAAATATATGGTTGATGTTAACCAAGTTAGCATCAGATCGATATCTCTGCTGGTTGAAGTTGCAAGAAGACATGCAAAACAGAGCTTATAATGAAAAAAAAAACATGTTGTGTTCTTCCAAGAACTTTTCCCAAAATTATAGAGATGAAAAAGAGACTGTCATTGAATGATACGCAAACTTCCTGTTACAGTTTCTTTGTGAAAAGTAGCCATAATAAAACACACTCAGAGTGATAGCATTTCTGGCCCTTTGCTGAAGGCAGAATAAAAAACTGTGGGATTCAAAAGCCATCAGCTTTTTTATACTTGTCTCAAATGACCACAGCCTCTCCTTTCTGAGCTCTTGTGAAAATAACATCTTGATGGAGTCCATTATCAACTTACTTTCTTGAAGATGAATGTTTTTCTGATCAAGTTTAGTCACCCTCCATCCTCAAAAAAGCCTGATGTTGTATAAATACTCAAAGCTTCCAATACACTTTTCATCCATCATAAAATAAAAACTGAAAACCAACCCTATTTGGCCTAAACAGCCAGGAACAACTAATACAGCATCAGCTATGTGATACAGTCTAACTTCAATTGCTTCAAGCTTCAATATGGTTCAAGAAAAGAATTGATATATATATATATATATATATATATATATATATATATATATATATACATATATATATATATATACATACATATATATATATATGAAATTAATAAGACTGTCCTTGGCCTGTGTAATCTTGTGGGCACTTGTCTGGCACTTGTCTCCTCCTTTGTCCCTCTTCTTTTCCTGCATTTGGGACAGCAGAAGCTTATTAACAATGAGTCATAGGTTTGGATTGCTCAATATATTTTTCAGATTACAACACTAATGTAATTCAAAAGAATTCCCTATGTTGGGATTATTTTTTAAATTGTGTTCCATGAACCCTACTGGTTTTTTTTTTTTTTTTTTTTTACAAAATGTTGGTAGAGTTCCATGACAGACTAAGAACAAAAGAAAAAGTTCACTCAGACTCATCCAATTTTTCTATCACTAGAATTTGCCTCTTATCAAGAGTTTTAGGATATTTTTAAAATGAAGGTTCTGCAGCCTGAAAAAGTTTGAAAATCCCTATTCAGTGTGATTACTTCTTTAAAATAGTAAATCCATTAATCTTCCAGTGTCGTTCATTGTCATCTAGTTTTTGCCCCATTTTTCTTGTGCATCTTATTTTCTGTGTTCCTGATGCACAAAATAATTTTTGATACCCATATATGGCTGCAAAAGAAAATTGTACTTCTATCTCTTACAGCCTTTCTCTTTTCCACCCTTCTCCTTCTTTAACATTGCTCCTAAGGTTGCTGGAGAGAGATACGTGTACAAGTTTGTTTGTGACCCTGAAGCCCTCTTCTCCATGGCCTTTCCGGATAACCAGCGTCCCTTGCTGAAAACTGACGTCGAACGTCATATCAATGAAGAGGACACTGTCCCTCTGTCCCACTTTGATGAGAGTATGGTCTATATGCAAGAAGGAGGCTGCTGTAATACCCACCCTTATAATGAAGGCTATGTATATTAATTGGAGTGACAGTAATGAAGCCCCTTTTTCATCCTAAGCTTTTCTTCTTTAATGAGACCAAGACAAAAGCTGAATTCCCTTCAGTTGGTTTTATAAGAATAAGAATTAAAAACTGTAAAAGAATAAAATAGTACTATAAAGGGGTTTCTTCTGTTGTATTACTCCTGTAGTCTGACATGGACAGTGCACTTTATTTGAAAAGGGAAGTTTAGAATCTAATTGTTTATTCTTTGCAACAAGATGACAAGGGTGGACAATACAGGTTTTAAGTACAACAAAGCTGTATTATGTCCAAGTTTGATTCTGTTTCTTACTTGGTTAAAAATAATGTACATGTTCTCTAAGTACCTATAGTACAGTTAATTCTAGACATGACCAATAACCATTTATACGCTATTTGGAGAATTATCTGTCATGGACACTCTCCCCTCTTTCCCATTTTCACTACAGTCTAGACATTTTTCCTATCTTTTTTTAATTGTTAGACATTATTTACCCCTTACAAAGATTGAGCTTTGCACATCCAGAATATGTGCTCTATGAGCTAAGGACCAATAATAGATGCTGGATTTGAAAAGAACTAGAATTAGATTTTTAATTTTGTTCCTTAAAAGACAGGGTCTACTTTTATTTTATTCCTTTAAAATATATCTATGTATCTTAGACACTGCCTTGATTCTGTACACAAGGAAAGCATTCATTCTGGTCTGAAAAACACAGTTCCTGGTTTGTGCTTATAATTGCAAGGCTGTAGCTTAGCTCCTGTTATCTAGTGCCATCTTGTTATGCAAATACAACAACATTTAGTCATTTTCAACTTTTCAATGTCCACCTGAGTGTAGTAATTATTTATATTGAACCATTCTGCATATTCTTTTAACTTTATGTACAGGACTGTGATCACAAAGGGCGAGACAGAATGCTGTCCTTCCACCTTCTTTGATCCATAAATAGGTTATTTAATCAATAAGAATTAACTGTACTAGTTCTCAATATCTCATTATGCTAGTTCAATCCTTCAGAAAAATATCCAATACACAAATAGTACTTTAGTAATTTTTAGACACAATATCCAATAATGTGCATTTAAGCCTTTATACTGCTGTGTTATGTTGATAAGCATATATACATACTAGCTAACGCTATCGCTTCTGCTGCTGTCTTTATTCCTGTAATATTCTCTTTGCTGAATTTACTATGCTCTTTATAAGAAATTATGTAACTACAGGTAGCATTCAGGAAAAAATAGAAGACTTGAAACATTTACTGCTTAGAAAAATAGCTTATGCCATAGCTGTGCTATAAACAGCTTTTATGTGCATTGATACATGGATAGGACTCTCCAGCTTGCTAAAGAGGAGCTCAGCTGAATCTTTTATAATGTTCCATGGAGCAGAGACCTATACATAATATCAAAAATACAGTTATTTTCTTTTTCTTTGTTTGTTTGGCTGTATAATGTAGTGCTGGCACTGATGCTTAACAATTTTGTTAGGGATGCTAATTGTAAATGTGATCAGGTACTTTTGGGAAACCCTTCAAAAATTATTTTAATTTTGGGGAAAGTCAACATTGGAAAGAAGACAAATATCTTATTCTTGAGATCAAATTAAATGAATAATATTTAAGAAGACCTTATCTTCAATGTTAACTTTTTGCATTGGAGCAAAAAAAATAGATAGCACGTTTGAAGTTTGGAGAGTGTTTTTTCAAACACTTCTCTTCCAGAACATCCATCCCAATAATCATATACATGCTTTGCCCAGAAATCATCAACTCTGAAATAGAGAAAGGATGGATAGGAGTCCATAATTATTAGTTGCAAAAATAATGTTTCATTGTAAATGACATGATATCAGAGATGTGGTGATTTACTTTGCACTCAGTGTTAGTCAGGAACCCTATAAATCTATAAATGATTTATAATGCAATTCATTTCAAACTGAATGAGTATTAACCACTATAAACTACAGCTACAACAAAGCACACTGGGTCTGCATCTCTTTCACCCTAAAACCATTAAGAGAGTTTCATGTGTGCATGTTAAAAATTCCATGGCATGTTAACCTTATAGAAATCTCTGCAAAAAGTGCTTCATCTTATTCCTGCCATTGTCCAGTGGCAAAATTTCTCTAGCTGGCTATAAAATTTGGGTTTTTTTTAATTTTGTTTTTGTTTTAAAGCTACCATTGGAATAAAATCAGTGATTTTAATCATTATGCCCACAGATGTCTCCATTGACCTTCCATAGACTTCCCTCCTCACCTGACTTAAAAATGGGAGGCTAGCATTTTCAGAGTGCCAGCTTCTAGCTGTCTTCAATCATAGTTCTGCTTTTATTAAAAAAAATAACAGGGAACGTCTGCTTGCCTACTAAGAATATACTTAGGTAAATGAGATGGTAAAGGTCCTGGGAATATATATGCATTTGCAATCTGGTAGCTGGACAATTTCTGTCTGGCTGCATCCATCATGGCAGCCATTTTGTGAATAGGCATTTCTGTCAATATTTTTTTTCTGAATGAGGTACTTAAAAGTCCAAAAATATATCCCCCAGTCTTAACAACTTAAGCATCTTTGAAGGAGTCAAGAACTCTAAAGTGAAGCCCTAGATCTTGTATGTATGTATAGGTACAAAAGGGCAGGGTATTGATGTGATTGCACACTTTCCCTCTTGCCAATTTTGATCCTCTAACAAGAATCTAAAATAAGGCTTCTTATTCTTAACTGCTAAGTTAGGATAGGTGCTTAGAAACGTGCTTGCTTCTAACAAGACGTATTTAATAAACTGGCTGTGAAGCAGAAGAGGTGACAAAGTATACATTGCTAGGAGTCCTTACAAGGAGAAGCACGTATCTTTACTAGTAACCTGAACACATTCTGCTTAATAATTGTACTTTTATTCTTTCAGGCAGCCAGACATAAAAGTATATTGAGTCAATTCAGGAGGCAAAGGCTTTTGTTTCCACCCAATACTTCTCTTACTGCAAAATATTAATTCACCACCCTTATTGATAGTCCCAAAGGTAGCATTTGATTTGACCTGGGATTATCAGTCTTTTGGTGTCAGTTCATAACATAACTGAATACACCTCCAATCTCCTGCATCATATTTGCATTTTTTAATGGGCAGGGGTATTCAGAACATGTCACTGATAGCAAAAAAATGGAACAAGCTATTGATGTTTGTTCTGAAAAGTATGGATTAGTCCAGATTTACAGAGCCATTTTTTAACTGACATAGATACCCAATGTATGGCCCCCTTAAATAAAAAGTTCTGCAATTACTTTTGGTCATGGTTTTATTGCAAAGAACAGTTATTTCAAGAGAAAATATTAGGTGAATGGGGTAATTGAAAAAAGAAAACCTGAGTCAAATGTCTTAATATTTAATATATATCTATAATCTATATACTGTATATGGTAGTGATTCACTGAACAAAAAGATAATTCCCAGGGGGAAAAATTGTATAAGAATTTGTTATCTGAAATTGATGGATCCTTTTGAAATTGTACCTTTAAAAAAGAGTTTATTTTAAATTCTGTTTTTTTTTTCCACATTTTTCCAGGTAGATTAATAAATCTGGCAGCTGATTTCTGAAAGATGGTTGTTTGAATTTCTAATGATTTTATTTTTATTCATTCAACATAACTGAAAGGTTTACTGGAACAAAGCAAAGCTGTCTCTCCTTGCTGCATCTACAACACCACAGCAAGCAACTATCATAGTTTATGTGTGGCTTGCTGCTAAAAATCCCCCAAATTAAGGCAAACAAACTTTTTAAAAACAAAGAAAACCCATTTCTTTGAGCAATCACAATGGGTTTTAGCTGGCCAATCTTACTTGGAAACACAGTAAAACCTTATTTCACGTCTGGACATGTATCTCTCTCACTTCATAATGGTAGCCTCATGATTGCTAGTAGTCTTATCACATATACTTGTTGCTTTTTCCATATCTGGTCAAAATTGTTCTAGTTTGTGAACTTCTGAGATCTGTCCTATCCCTTTCCTTTTGTCTTTTCCTTATGAAGGCATTTTCATAAGCAGTTACTCAGTGTTGTTCTGGGAAAAATATAGAAATTACATACAAGGTCAAAATCTGTCACTATGGCCTCTTGTAATGGTATGTGGGAATAACCTTGGAAGACAAGAGGAAGAGCTACAGTCTATACATCATCAGATAAATTCAATTTGCATCCAAAAGAAGAGGGATGGTGAAAGCATCTCTTAAGGGAGGATCCCTAATTTTCATGAGAGTAAAAATGAAAGGGTGGGGGAATGTCACAAGTTCTTTTAAGTAGACAAAGTCAGTAGGCTTCAAGAGAACCAATGCAACAACCCAGGTTCCCAGGCAACAAGCCTCCCCACTCACAGATTAGTACTCACTGTTCACTATTCCACTCTTCCTTACTACTACATTTACTATTCTGCTTCAACTATTACACTTTGTGAGTCCTATGATTGGAGAAAATTATTTTTCTAACTACTTTAGGCTGTTTTGTGCTGCTTTATTTCCATAAGAGAACATACACCTCTCCTTCCATCTCTTCCACACACTAACATTACCACCTCCAGCTGTTTCTCAGCAGAGCTTTTATAGCCATAATTGCTATCCTGATTGGAGAGAAGGCTTAAAGAAACAGGACAATAGCTGGCTAGATGCTGAACATTTTCTAAGCAGCCTACCTTCTCACAAGGAATTTTCAGACTTGCAAGATACTGTTAATGGAATGTTACAATAAAAGTGAAGCTACTATTCCTGTTGGGGTTGTGGACTACCTCATAAGGCAGCCCTCTATGACTGACGGCATGATGGATAAGATGGTTGGTTTGTCATAATAATGGGAAGTATAAAAAGGATGTTAGGGCAACTACATACAGCATTGTGCATACATCTTCCCCTGACAAAATGCAGAGTTCCTCCTTTGCTCCCAACACAGGGGGAAACATTGAAGCAATATGTGGATTTGAATTGCCTGAATATGTTCAATGAAGAACAAAAGCAAAAGAAAGGAAAGAAAGAGAAAGAAAAATATAGACTACACTATAGACATTAAGCCTTGGTTACATCTGATACAGATCTTCCGTCATGATGTTTACACTTGAATTTATATTTTTGACTCATTCACAGAAGATATGGATCACCTTAATCCCAACTCCCAAAGTTTTAGCCAAGAAGGAAAAAAGGAATAGTAAAGTCAGAGTTATGTTCACAAATCACCACATTCGATAGAATTTGCCCATATTTTTTTTTTGGGGGGGAATAGGCTCATTATCAATTAGTTTCAGGGATTATTTAATGCAATACAATTGTCTAGTATCATGTGTCCTGCTTTATTGGGGATTGAAATCTATCTGAACATCTTGTGATTCAGGTTCAAATTCAAGTTAAGAATAACATACTTGAAGTCAATAACAAATTAAATTCTAAAATGTTTTGAGAGAGCAGGTTTAGTCCTCTTGAGGTAGAAAATGAGCTTGAAGTTACTCATCAATAGCACATCAGTTAAATAGTTTTCTTCCCTATGTTGATTGATTTAAAAATATAGCAATTATTTCTAAATTAACTAGTTTAATATTACAAAAGCCAGTATTTCTAGAATTTAAAATATAACTTTCCAGATATTGTTGAATCACAGTTCCCATTATCTGTCATTTCTGGCCATGATAGGGCCAGCAAGAACTATGATTCACGACTTTTTGATGAGCCACAGGTTTTCACCTTCAGTATTGTTTTTCTTTCTTTGGCTTAGTTGTTCCCTTTTTATAGCCATATACAGTAGGCCCTTATTTAAAATATTCCAGGTTTTGCTTTTTAACTGACTTGGCTTTGCCCATTATGCTTTGGCGGTATGTTTGTGTTGGGGGTTGTCTTGCTGGGTACAACCATTCAATATGTGCTTTTTCTAACCTGTTATCCTTTGATGACTTCCACCTTTTCCATAGTTCTCTAGCTGAAACAGTGAAATTGTAACACAGAATTTCTATTGGGCTGCAGGCTAGAAAAGTCTGGCTCACTCAAACCATCTGTGTGGTTTTGGCTGTAGTTAAAGGTGCAAACAGTATCTTAGTTTACTGTGTATGATACTGACATACGGTGCTTAAAGGCAAGTAACTGTTGCCCTAACCTATTTTTTAAAAACAAGTTAATGATCTATGGCACGGGTGTCAAACTGTGGATCGGAAACTGCACCCATCCCATTGCCGGCAATGGGAAAAAAGTCACAATACATCCTGACACATTACGTGTCGTTGCGAGTTTAACACCCATGATCTATAGGCTCTGTTTTTGATATTTAGTAAAATCAGTGGCACTAACTTAGAGATGAAGTACCATATAGTGCCATCTACATAACTATTTTTGTCACATACATGGTTTTCAAATCCATTCTTATTTGAATACTTCAATTACTCTTAGTGTGATAAAATGATGGTTTTGATTTAGAGTTGTTTATCAAGGGATCCACACACCATAAAGTGTTACACATACATAACCATAGTCAACTTTTAAAAAATTGCTTAATCAAATTGATCATCTTTATGCATGTTTTCATAGCTTGTTTATAGCATGGTCTTATTTTCTTTGAAATGAAATAGACTGTTTCTTCAAGAAAAGTATCAATGGATTCAGTGTGGCTTATTCCTAAGAATTGTTGTTTATATAATGTAGATTGGTTACCTTTGCCTTCCCCTGAGACTTCACTGTGACCTCTATGGTCCCTCTTCCTTTGCTGCTGAAAATGAACAATAGTATTTTGTCCCTTTAAATTTTGGTGCAATCATTTGGAAAACCAAGGTGCTGCTCCCTTCTGAAGAGTTACCTATCCATGTAGAAGTCATTCATTTTTAAATTACAATTGAGAGACCTAGAACAACCAGGAGGGCTTCAATTGTGTTGTGCTGCAGGTCACCCACAACAGCAACTAATGCAGTTTCCATGCCATTCCCGTGGTATGAATCCAAACTAGAAGAGATATAGATAATCCATTTCATCTGGAACTCCCAAAAGGGAAGATTGGTGACTGCATAGAAATTACTAACATAACTTGAGTGATAGCTTGGGAGGAAGAAAAGAATGTGCATCAATATCTTCTGTGAGGCCGATAGTATCATGGACATATACAATTCACAGAGATGCATCTTCTATCTCTTGTACTCAGCTGTGTTCAGGCTGTGGTTCCACCAAAATCTGACTGAACATGTCTTGGATAAGAAAATATTTTATCCTCATTTAGCCAGGTTTTAGTTTTGCATGCCAATCTTGCTCTTTTCTCTCCGACAGTCATGGAGGAGCAGGATCTTATAGCAATCAACCTACATTTACCAAAACCAACCTGAATGCAAGACTTCCAGCACGTGGCATTTTCAATAATTTAGCACCCAAACACTGGATTGTGCTATGAAACCAAGAGGGGAGTGGAGTTAAGTTTCTTATTAATTGTTTGACTGATTGATTATAACAGTGGTTCTCAACCTTTCTAATGCCGCGACCCCATAATACAGTTCCCCATGTTGTGGTGACCCCCAACCACTTATACATCACCGGGTGCCAGGGGCGTGGCCAAAGAAAAGGGGGGGAAAATGGTGGACAGCCTTGTTTGGCGACCCCCGTGAAATGGTCGTTCGACCCAAAATGGGGTCCCGACCCACAGGTTGAGAACCACTGGATTATAATATATGGCCACCCATCTCACGTAACATGACTCTTTCCATATACCTCTTTCCCTGTAATAATCTGCTAATCACACCTTTTGCTAATCACTACTACTATATTCCAACTGTCTGACTTTCTAAGGAGGACCTTTCTCAATGTCCATTCCTGCACCCTTAAGTGGGTGGTGTGCTTTCTTCAAATAAACTAAATCAGAATGGATCACATAATGCTGCCTGACTTACCACACTTTCAGCTCCTCTCATTACATCTCTCTTTCCCTGATATCCCCCATGTCTGTCACTCCTGGAGATGATACTGATCATCAACCTGTCATAATCAGGGCAGAGAATCTGGGATATTAGTTATTGCTTTTTTATATTTCCCACCATCCCTTGCTATTGCATTCTGGCTAGCACTATTTATCATTTTGAGTCAATCAATATTTAGAAGGTAATTATTTCCCTTCTTTAATTAGAGACATTTCATTTTGGAATCTGATAATGAGCAATAAACATTGTCTATGTCTATGTTCCTATCTATGGAATATTCTTAATTAGATTTTGGATATGGGTGAAACTATAATTCCTAATCTAAATTTTATAATAGACTCCAAATCATATATTTTTATATCTGAAAAAAAATAATATATTAGAAGATTAGGCTTGATAAGTTACATGAAGTAAATAAATAACCTTAAATATTTAAATACTAGAAAATTGTTTTCTGATGCATGTAAAAAACATAATTACTAGAGAGGAATATATTTTGGCATTTATAATCACTTCCCAAGGACTGGGATAGACAGACTATTATTATTTTTTCACTAACCTGTTGATTCAACTAGGGGAAGAACATATGGTGTAAATGGCCTTCCGATGTTTTGATTGTAATCCCATCAGCTTTAATTTTTATTTATTTTTATTCCATCTTTATTATTTTTTTTTAT